ATACGATGGAAATGATGTCGGATGACTCGGGAAAAAAACTAAAGACAACGTTCAGAAAGGAAAAGCAGAAGATAAAAAATGATGTATGGAGCAAAGATATTATTCTCCAGCAGTTGAAAGCAACACATTGGAGGTGGTGGTTGATGTTGTGGTAGCTAGAAAAATAAGAGAAATGTTGAATGTTTCATTCATGCGTAAGAAATTGAACCATAAGAAAAAATGGCTTTGAATATGTTCATCACACTATACAGACAAAGTTTAGTCATTCAGAAATATCATGAAAACTAAGTGGAGTAGATTGAAATAGTGTTTTCATTTAAAGTGTTTTTCTATTTCAATCTACTCTATTGACTCTTTGAGCCGATAAAATATAGAAAGAAAAGTCAAAGAAGAAATAAAATACTGTTAAAATATCCACATCAATACACTCTTTAATAATCTCCCTTTCTAATAAATTTTCTTATGCATTCATATTGAACGTTAAACCGCTGAGATACGGTAAAACTAGTAAAGCGGTAACGGAAAAGCCGGTTAGACCGGTTAAACGGTAACCTTTACCGTTGCATTCCTAGTCATCACGCAACAACCGTTGTGCATGTTAACTTCATTTTACACTTTACACAAGTAATCTGAACTCTTACGTCGCTTTAGTATTTTGCCATACGAAAAATTTCGTATTGCACTTTTTGGTAAAACATTTTGGATTATTTTCGATTTCGAATAATCGAACATCGATTATTCGATTTTTAATCGAAATCGGTGCATGCCTAATACAAAATAATTAGTATGTGGCTATTCTTTTTGTTGAAATTGAAACTTTATACCTAAAAAAAGTAATTTCATATGAACTAACTAAAATTAACTTTGAACGGAAGAAAAACATCTAAAACAGAAAATGAATCAAAAATTCTTTGTTGATTCACTGACCTACGTAAATGTTTCATACATTTTCATATTATATTCAGCATGTTTGAAAGTTTTATAAGTCGAAGAACAGTACAATAAACATAATATAAAGAAACTTCTTTTTCATACAAAATCAAGTTGCATATGATTCTTTAGAATACCATTCATCTGTTCTAAGCAAACAAATGTATATATAGTGATACATCCGAAAGTAATGGGATGTAAATACAATAAATGGAGCGTTGTTAATATTCAAGTATTATTTATTCATTCAAATGATTAACTCATCAAAATAACACGAAGAGACGCGAAAGTAGCACATTTACGAGAAAACCTGAATATTTATGACGCCATTTATATACATATAAAAACAAATCACGACCTTTTTTCTAAACATTTGAGTTACGTAAATTGGAGCATATATATATTCCAAGAAAAACCAGCGTTTTAACTCATACCGTATCCTTTTTCTAAAGTTATATAGAACTAAATATTTAGTATTAATATTACTTATTCCAGCACTGATAGTAGCTGAAGTCGCTGGAGAAGGCCGTCGTCAAGCTCTGACACGTATGATATGTGATGCTGAGAATGCAAAACAACATATTGCAAAACGGCAAATTTATCGCTGTGCCTATTATCCTTAGAAAATACATACAGACAATTAAATCCCATTGTTCGTAACCAAAGTGGAACACTTCGATTGCTGTTATACTACCAAAAAAAAGTTTCGTCCGTTTTGGTTTAGCCAAACAGGAGTTATTCGAAAAATAAAGGTTCGCTATTGCCAAGTTTTCTACGTGACTTGTCTGACCAATACGAGAAAATAAAAGAACGCGTTTTGATTCATTCTGATTCGTTTTTTTCATACTAAGAAACAGGTTAAAACGCGTTATTTCATTTAAGAACATTAAAAAACGCGTTTTAATCCGTCTTTTAGTATGAAAAAACGAAACAAAACGCGTTTTTTATTTTCTCATTTTGGAGAGGCAAAACACGTACAAAATTTGGCTCTGGATGACGGGGGAATTTCGTAAAATGGGATTTTTTTCGCATTTTACTAATGAGCTGAAGCATCGTATCAAGAAATGTTTTAGGTGAAAGTTGTGGAGTTTTAAACAGGCTTTTAGAATAACTGCTTGCCTTTTAAAATAGGTCGCTGGATTAAATAAAAATAGAAAAATATCCTCCGTGTTGGAATTTCATTCGTGTTGGAATTTTTGACGATATCTTTGGACTAGCGCCATTGCAAAATTTTGTCGATTTAGCTCAGAAACTCCTAGATATGTCTCGCGCCAACTGATTACGGATGATAATGTCACGCACTTGTTAAAATCAATGGTGTAGAAGTAAGCCCAAATTTTTGTTTGCGTCTACGTACTATGAAATAAAATGGAGCTCAAGCCTTCCCGAATATAGTCCCTTTTTAAGTCTTTTCAGTGTGTATTGTAAAAGTTTGATAATAACTGAATAATTCTAACATACAAATCTACTTATATGTGTATTGAATATCTTCAGCATCGTTATATACTACAGAGTTTTATTTAAATTTCGTCGTTCTCACTTCATATTCTGACAACAAAAGCAGTGTGAACTCAAAAGTTCGTGATTTAGTGGAGAAATCTGCTAGCCCTTCAACGATTCAATTTGACCGCGTTGTTCAAGTGACATCTACTAAAGACAGATACATGATACCTCGTAAGCTTTTTCGTAATTATTCAACTTTATATGATCAAGACTCTTTGTAATTCTCAGCTACACCGGTTGTGTACTTCTCGGAATCGTTTTCGTCCAGTGGAAGCCTTAAGACGTCATGGCAATTTAGTTTGTACTCGATCGAATTGGGTGAATGAATGAATCATGTATAGTTACCTGTAGAACAGGAATATGAGGTCGTACAAAATATTGTCATAATGAATTCGAAAATACCTTAACAACATATGGTGTAAATCTCGATGTTAATAATACCAGACTGTATTATTTTCTAAACTGCCGTTCGACAGGTCGCACTGACATCATTCAGTAGAAGCAGAAGGCTATTTTTCTCGTTTTCTACAATCGGACCTGTGTAATACATCATTTTTCAGATAAAATTTGATACAAAAAAAAAATTGGAGTAACAGTGATGGATCAGCTTCACGATAGTACTGACTACTCTTCTATTCTGTTTGAAAATAATATTTTTATTCCTTTCTATATATGCCAACGTTGAAAGTGCATGGAAATAGAGAGAAGCACGTTTTTCCGACGTAATAGCTAATTCTAGTGTCTTGGCGTACCCCCAATCATTTTTATTTTGCTTTGCATGTTAAGATAAACAATGCCATGATTATAAGCGTGGTCGGTTACCTATGCTTCAATTCTTTTTAAATTTTTCAAACGGTAAAAATCGTCAAACCTGGTAGACCGGGGAAAATCCGAGTCGCTCAAAAACTGAAGAAAAATCAGAGATCCAGATTTGTAGAGCACACTTAAGACTATCTTTCCATCGAAAAAAATCGACCGATCTCTATGTTAATTTCAGAAACCATAAACTTGTTTTCCAAGAATTCTCTGAAAAATTGGTCTTTCGAACCTTTTCAAAAGTAGTTGGTACTAATTAAAAGTTGACTTTAAGTCTTTAGTTTCGATCACTAGAAACCGCAAGTCGCTATCTATCAAGGTGACGGAGTTATTCAAGAAACGAGCACATGGCTTTTATTTTGGCGCCGATAATAGTATCGATCATGTGAATGAACTTATTACGGTTCATAAATTTATTAATGTTTTATTTTTCTTATACTGAGGTACGTGGTTAACGGCATAACGTGCTCTTTTCTTAAAATAAATGAAAGTGCCTTTGCTCAGTCATAGAACATTAGTTTTCGAAACAAAAAAAGTTACTATATCGCTCCTCGCCCTGAACAGATTGTGGCACGATAAATAAGAATAAACATGAAAATTTCATTTTTTTTTGAAAATTTTACTGTTAAGTTCAAAAAACCAGTATATTTTTTAGTATTTTAAAATTTTTTCGTGTTAGAGAAGAAATCCAAATATTTCTTCAAGTATAATCCACTAAAGTGCCTTTTGTGATTAATTCCAACAACAAAAACAATCGTCTAATTTGTTGTTGTAATAAGTGCAAATCACATCGTTTAAAGAAAATAGATAGTATCTATGTCGAACATACGCTCCAGTTACTTTTACTTTTTTTAAACAGTTATAAAGAATAGAAAGGAAACGCTCAGGCTAGATCCTATTTAAAAAGATAGCTGCCGATGAATCGACAGATAACCGCGCACAATCGCAAATAACCGGTGGCTATTTATCGGTTATTGTTACATATGGAGTGTTAAATCTAATACCAGGTATGCACATCGGTATCCGATATGGAAATACCAAACTTCGGTATATACCGATATTGAAAATACCGACTGTTTTTCTTTTTTTTACCTTTGAAATAGGATATCATAGCATCATGGATAGTCAGAACTTCAAAAATACTCAGCTGCGTATTCTGAGCATGTGCAGATAGAAAATACGGGAAAACTTCGGCTTTAGAAAGCAAACCAAGCTCTTGTATTGAATCTCTCATTCCTTCTGGGTGTCCAGGATGCTAAACTATCTCGTATCAAATGAAAAAATCCAAAAAAGTTGGTATTTTCGATATTTGGTATACAAATACAGACCAGGATTCAAAAAGTGTGAAAGAAGTTTTTAGTTCCATCAGATGGATCAAATCAAGTTTTTTGATGAATATCGAGTCAGTCCACAGGATAGCAAAAAAAAACGAACGCTTATCTAGTTTTATTTTGAAAACACTTGCCTGTCAGAAAAAGCTACAATAAGGGTTTCCGGTAGGCACGGGCGAGCCAGAGGGGGTACCGAGTCCGAGTGGAGGCCTTAAAACTTCAAGTCGAGTTCGAGTCCGGCAATCTTTTAGATTCTTTTCTGATGTGTGTAGTTACTTTGCATGCCTGTCTTTCGAACAATATTTTCAATTTCTTGTGAAACAGCAGGTGTTTTTATTTCGCTTTTCATTTTTCTTAGATCATTTGTGTTAAAAGTTGAACAGATCGGACTCGGAATACAAAAACTCAAATTTGAGTCCTTCAAAAAAGTCTTCTGTTCGAGTCCAAATCTGCTAAAAAATTTTCCACTTCGGACTCGCTCATGCTTGGTTCCTGACATTTATTTAACCAATCTGAAAAGTTAGTATATGTTTTAGACTGAAAAGTTTTTTGTTGTAGTTTAGTACATAGGTCACAAAATTTAGCATCTAAATAATATCCATCGGGCCATGTAAGAACTCGATACTCTGTACGCCACTCGTGATATGTTTTATATCTATCAATATCGCTACCTATCCTCACTAGTTCGGAACCAAATTCTGTAAAATTTGAAGAATGACTAATATACATGAAAGATGATTTTGGCAGTAATTCATCATAATTGCTTTCGCTTGCACCCATCACAATTGGGATACCACCATGAACTAGTGCGTTGTAAAATACTTTTTCGGTGATATAATCAAGACAATAAGAGTTTTCAAAAGCTAAATAAAATTTGTAATTAAATAAAATTTTTTCAAATTCTTCTTTAGATAACCTTCTCTTTTCCGTACATAAACCATATTGATCAATAGGATAATATGTGCCTAATTTTAGTGCTAGCTGGTTGCGATATGTTTTAGCATTGCAATTTGATACTATCCATAATATGCGACTTTTTCTTTTCATAAATTCGTCTGATATGTTAAATGTTGACTGATTGTTCGGAGAGTTGTAAAAGTCGATACACTAAGGATCGTTAATCGAACGAGAGAAATTGCGGTGAATATATTTACCATAAGCATGCCAAATATCAGAATCACGACGATATGTCATTGTCCTAATAACGAAGAAAACGTCATTATTGTACTTATTAAAATAGAATTAAGCATAAACTTACCAGTTAAAATTGAGCCCACGTTGTGTGTATTCTGGATGGTTTATGGGCGCCTCCCAAGACCAGAATATCCATATTTGATTCGCCGACGTTCGATTATAATTTTCTAGTTGAAATGACCATAAGAAGTCTTCGCCAAAAAATAAAACGGCTTTTGAACGATTAAAATCGTTTAATTTGCATGAAAAATCACATTTATATGGACAATACTCAAAATTAACTAAATGATTACCTCTCTTTCCCTCACAAATATTGTCACGGGTCTTGACTGAAAAATTGTAAGTATAAAGTAATATCAATGGTTTATTAACTACAAAACGAAAAGAATACTGCACGAGCTGTGTGGTAATTCTTTGAACTGGTAAGTTTATTATAATAAAAAACAATATGACAATTAATGTTAAATTCAGAATGATTCTGCGACTGATCGAACTGTATGGAAAGTCGATCATTTCAAAATTATCAGATTTTCATTCATGTAACTAGAATAAAAAAGAAATGAATATAAAAAAACTAAGTAAAGTAAAAGTTTTTGAAAAATTTACATATTAAACGGCACTTTCTCGAAATAAAAATATAGTATTGTGTAGATGTAAAAGTAATAGTGTATAAACCAGATGCGAAAGTAATAGTATATAAATTAACTAGGGCATTTGTTAAACTTTTTCTGTATTTATTGAAGAATGAAAAAGTAAATGTGTACAGCCGAAAGCTAAAGTGAAAAACAATTATGTTGGTGTTCGTATTTTTTTTTTGAGTGAAATTATATGCAAAATTATTAAAACCTATTTCACAGCAGAGGTGTAACCGGTATTAAAAATGCGATACCAGTATACAAATTACTGGTCGGTACCGGCTTGTCTTGATCACATTTTGCCTAAATACAAATACTTTTTCCTTGTTTTTCTTTACTGTGAACCCAAAGGAATAGATTAATCTTTTCACTTTGATTATGTATAGCTAATTTCGCATACGCTGTTTTTAACGAAAACAGCAATCTAACTCATACTTTTAAATTAAGAAGTTTATATAAGCCGACAAAGTGTAAGTAATTAGAATGAAATTTTAATGGAAAAAGTATGCCACAGATGAACTGAATTTACACGATGTTTTTCGAAAACAATCGTATCATACCGCAGAATACCAGCAATATTGGGCGACTGATTGTACTTCATACTAATGCCGGTATACCGGTCGGCGTTATAATTCGTATCGGTACCGACTGCACCTCTGTTTCACAGTATAGTTCAGAGGTGTAGCCGGTATCGGTTCAACGGTTGGTATACCGGTACGAATATAATGTCGACCGGTATACCGGCATTAGTATGAAGTATAATCAGTTGGCCGGTATTTTGCGGTATGATACGATTTTTTTCGGAAAACATTGTGTAAGTTCAGTTCATCTGTGACACATTTCTTCCACTAAAATTCTATTCCAGTTACTTAAGTTTTGTTGGCTTATATAAACTTCTTAATTTAAAAGATTGAATTAGATTGCTGTTTTCGTTAAAAAAATAGTGTGTGCAAAATTAGCTATACATAATCAAAGTGAAAAGATTAATGGATCCCTGTGATAACATAAAATAAAATTCACCGTAAAGAAAAACAAACAACGAAACAGTATTTGTATTATTATTAAAGTATTGCAAAATATGATCAAGACAAGCCGATACTGGCACGAAGTTTGTTCAATTAATACGCTCAACTCAATTAAGCCTTTATTGGTTTTCCAGTAACGATCAAACCGACAGATCCTTGCTATTGTTTCATTCATGAGTATTGTTTCTCTACAAAAGCTTTTCCGTTAAACAGTTAAACTCTGTGATGGAGTGTATAAAATGACTTCGTTAAAATTAAATTAGTATACAGTTGATAGAAAAAAATGAGTAGAATGATAGAAAATGTAAACGGGACGAAACCAGTGTGGGACGAAATGAGAGCTAATTAACAAATACGGGACGAAACAAGAGGATACCATTTAAGACATGAAAACTATAAGTATTGGCAAGCAATTTATATAGATGAGAAAGCTAAATTTGAGCAAGCTAGAAGAGAAAAGAAAATATCTCACATGAAAGAAGGAAATAATATTTGGTCTCACGTTAGAAATGTGTTTCGACCTTTTACTCCGTCATTCTGAGGTTTAAAAGAGGGTGATAAAAATAATTAAAAAGAATGAAAACATTGTAGAAAGACTTACTACTATGAAGACTTAATACTATGAAAAACATTTTTCCGAGCGAAACACGACGTGACAAATCCTTTTCACTTGGAGTGCTTAGAAGCATATGAAAAGATTAAAAACAAAATAATATTCCACTGAAAAAGATCCTACGAGCAGAAATAGAAAGACTGGAAAAAATTTCAATCGAAAAAATCATTAGATAGTGTAGATACATCTGCTTTTGTACTAAAACAACTACCAATAGAATATTTAAATACGATAACAATACTTTTTAATAAATGTGGAGAGAAAGGAGAATTTTTTGAAAAAGGAAAAATAGCTAAAGGAAATTTTCTCTCTGAGGACGGCGCTTTTCCAACAGTAGATAGATTGAGACCTGTTTCTCTTCTCCCAAACTTAGCTAAGGTTTTTGAGCATGTAGTGGTGGTTACGATAGAAAATTAGTGTAAGGATCGAGGTATTTACGTGGACGAACAATCGGGATTTACAACAGAACGACGACTAAAGGCAAGAATTTTCGGGATTGTTGAAGGCTTGAGATTGACGGTAGCTGCGTGTAACAGACCAGCACTTGCTACATTTATAGACTTCGCAACAGCCTTCGACAGAATGTAGTGGCCAGCAGTGCTCAATACATTGGAAAAATTGAATATGCCAGTTGAACTACGAAAATGAATCTACAATTGGTTACAAAACAGGTGGATGAGAATTAGTCATGGAAGTGAACAATCAAGATTAATCAAGATATTAATAAGTGCACCCCAATGCAGTGTATTGGCTGCCCTGTTATTTAGAATACATGTACATTTTTTACCATCTTATTTTTCTCAAATATTAAGTCACTTGTTTGCGGATGACTTGATGATGATCATCAAAGGAGCACTGGAGAAAAGATTGAGTGACAATATTAAATACATTGAAACACAAGCTAAGGTTGTTTTAAAATCTCTTGAAAGATTTTCGGATGATCACATTCTACCTGTAAACATATCAAAAACAAAATCAGTGTCAGTACATTCTACAGTAGCTGTTAAGAAACCAGATATTATAAAAATGTTAAAATAGAGTACGTTAATTTATTTAAGTGCTTAGGTACAGAATTAGGCATAAAGCTAGGTTGGAATAATCATATTGATTCGAGATTAAAGAAAGTTAGAAACTCTTATTGTGCTTTGAGAAAAATCTTTCTTACGATTCCAAAAAATGAGGTTAAGGTCAGAAAAAAATTGTTTTGTGCCTACTCTCTACCTCATTTTATTTGATTATTTCCCACTTATTTTTACTATACAGAGAAACAACAACAAAAAGTGGAACATGTCTATTTATCAGGAATAAGGATGGTGTACAGTTTCATACGAAGACGTTACAACACTTGCGTTAAGCAGAAAGTATACTCTTCACGATTATCTTATCGGTACTGGGTTCGCTTTCAGAAACACTTGGATGTGTCTCCTGTGTGTCCTAAAGTTATAGGCAAACCTAGACAGCATACCTTATAGCTACTGCCCTCTTCGAGTTATACTATCGTAGTTGTGGATTTAGGCGAAATGCTGTATTTCCTAACAGATTGTCACAGAGAACACATCATACGTATCTAGATCTGATGTCCTTCATAAATGTACAGAGAGAACAATTTTTCTTTTTCAAAAAATCTTTTTCTCATTTTGAGCATTTTGTACTAAAATATTTTGCAGAAAAAAATAATATTGATTCTATAATCACTCCTACTTACCCGTACCTGAGTTTAAGTCAAAATTCTTATTTTGACCTAAACTCGACCCTGTGATTGATCACGCATAAAACGAAAAAAGTCAAACAAAATTCTTATATCGATGACATCTCACTTTTGTTTACACAATTTGTAAAAGAAAATAGTAAGAATTATAGCTACCAAGTATTGCTCAAGTTCACTACATAATGGTTGAGAAGAAAATTAAAAGAGATGAAGTCTGAAGTGAATTGTGATCGAACCTAAAACATAATGCATCCATTTACACCGTCAGTTGAACCTATACAAACAAAAAATTTTATTACCAATCGGTTAAAATACGTAATCCGATCAATCGAAAAAATTGCCTATTACAATGACTAATGACATTTGCCTATACAAATTCATGAATGACATGGTTCTGATTGGCACACACTAATTGAAATTATATAACTGCAATTTTTAAGGAAGTTTCTGTAGATCTCAGCATCTACAGCCAGCATGAGAAATCTCTTTTGTTTTCATCAACGAAATTAGACTACAAAGCCATGTCGTTTATGAAAGTTTCAGCAGTTTCAAAATGTCATTTTCTGTTGGATAAGACTTTACTGGATCGAAATTCCCTTAACTTGATTTTTTAATTGAAAAATACGATTTCTTTAGTCTAAAGTTCAATACTTGTTCACTAGCGCAAAAAAGTTGTTTCTTAGCTGAAGAAAGGATCTCTGGGTGCCCCCTTTCGTGCAAGGAAGAATCGAAAAAATGAAATCGATGGCGATTCTGAGGCAGAATGCCATGCTGAAACTGAATGTGAGAACAGAATAATTATGCAGGATCACTTTTCGGCGAAAATCGACGAATACATGCAAGAGTCAAGGTTTTCCAAGTATTCACTTAAGGTGACTAGGAGGAGAATCTGGTTGCAACGCCAAGATTTCGCCACGAATAAGTAATATTTCAATTTTCAATTTTTTTGAGATCGAAACTTCCGAATGAAACCTTTTTATAAATAGATAATTAAATAAAATTATGTATTGACTCCATGATTCATATCTTGTCCCTATATGTTATTGTAGTGTCAGCTTTGTTTTTATGTAAAATGATAAACGTTTCTCTGACTATAATGTTCCGAAAAGTGATCAAGAAAGTTATGTTTATCATTCCAAATTCGTGCAATTTCTAATATTAAAGCAAAATTCATCCATTTTATTAACTTTAGTCTGGGATATTGAGATCTCTATAACTTAAAAACTAAAAGAGACCTTTTTCCAAAAAATTGCTTGGCATAAAGTACAAGTTGATGGGGCAGAATGGGGCATCTACTCCAGATGGATACAAAAAGAATGACGGCCTAAATCAAAAACTGGGCTCTGTTATGCTGTCCCCATAAGCCTTAGCTTCAATTTAAGATAAACTCGACCTCTCTGGCGCTTAATTTGACGAAGAAATGTTCCCGACAGTGTTTATCACGCAGAAAAAGTAGCTTTTGAGATATAGTGGCGCTAGTGTACAGTACATGTTTTAGGGCTGTCATAACTTCTAGCAGGAGCGAGGCTTTAAGTGTACTCAAACGTCTGTGCTTTTAATACACAAAGTTACTTAAGATAATGAATTTTGAGTAGCAAAAAAGCACTAATGTAAAGTGTTGAATGATAATATGTGAAAGAAACAGATAATATGGCTTGAATTTTTTTCTAACTATCCACGATGTTCTTATACAAACTTCGATTGTAAAATATTTTCGAAGAAAAAATGGTTTCTGTGTCATTGTACGGCATTATCATTATACTGTTATCAGGACGCTCATCTAAAGTGTTTACTAAAAATACCACAACATTGATTTCTACGACTTTTCCTTTATACTAAGATGCATGCTCCTCATTATCACCTACACTATCTTCGTCGATACCCACCTGTTATGAACTATATAAAAATCGATTATCAACTGACTCTATTGCTGAATTCTTGTTGCTGTCGAATCATTCTGATTCAGATACGTCATGACAGATAGTCTAATTGCTCAAGAAATTGAAAGACTCTCCCAATTTTTTTCAAGACAATATTTCGATGATAATGATGACGGTCTGCAGTCGAATACAATCGAAGACAGTTTTATACGATGATGATTTGAACTTGACTGAAGAACATGTTATTATTCGAGATGTTGTATCCTCCGCTGACGATATAAAAAATGATAAAATAAATATTAATAATCTACGCAAGCGTACTAGAATCGCATTTGTACAAATACTTAAACGATGTTCCAATTCTTGTGGGCTTCCTTTTAATTCAGACGTCAATATTAAATTACTTGAAATACCCAGTGCTGAGTTGATCCACTTTGCTTCGAACAAAACATTATCATTAAGACGGGTGCCACTGGAAATGAACGGTCACGTTCGAAAAGTCTCGGTTATGCTGCCCACGAATGTTTTTATTGGCAATATTGTAGTTACTAGATACTTGAAAATGCATGATGGCATTCTTGATACTGTTACTACCGCTACAAATCCTGATCTATTTATTACGTCAACCACATCTGAACTTCTCTCCGATACTGATAATATGGTCACGTCAATGTATTCAGTTAATCTCATGGTTAAGAACGTATCTGAAAATATTCGCTATTCGCACAACAAAGACAATTCCGAGATCAAACCCTCTTTTTGGTGGCCTATAATTAATCATTTTGCTCCACTTAGTTCCCTCGTCATTTGCGCGTTTCTTCTCATATTTGTTCTCACCATGTATTTATAGTGTAGGAAGTAGTGGGATAAAAACATTTATAATCCATGACGAAATATGATCAAATCGTACAACGAGAGGCAGGGTTTGTTCGAAAAGAACATATACCTTTGTTTTCTGCGTTGTACATTAGAATTAGCTTTCGCAGTTTTCAAAGACTGTTAATAGATTAACAAACTGTCGAGAGTTTAATGTAACCGTACGCCTACACAGATTTTCCAAACACGGACGGGCGAAAGGGGCTCAAAGGGTTAAAACTCAATTTTTTATTTAACGTTCAAAAACTGCTTTTTTTGTTTAATTTTGCGTGCTGATTGCGTTTATTTTAAATGCAAAAGATGTTATCTTGGCAAAAATTTCATTTTGGATCCAAGTTTTTCGTAATTTTAGCTTTCTTGCTTATTTTGTGGCACATTTTCTGACAGCGATTAAAAATACTATTAATAAACTAAACTTATTTATCAATATTTAGCTATATTACCCGGTCACTTCAATTCGATTCACTGAACTTTCATAGGAAAATAGTTCATCGAAAATATTTTTTGGCTCTTTGTTCATGGTTTTCCTCCTCAAAAAGAGCTTTCCTATGCACTATTTCGGCTCTGCTATCGTCTTCGTACTGTACAGTAAAAAGATTTCGATAAGTAATTTTCGATGAAATTCCTTTTTGATGAAAGTTCGCAGTATCCTTGAATTCATGGGAGAGAGAGAATCATGCAAGTTTTTGACGAGTGTAGGTTACAGGAGATAAGTCACGAACCGTCCTCTAGGTGTAACAGTCAGTTTTAATATGCAGAATGTGTTTTCGTTTAGTACTTTATCATGAATCTCAGACAAACAGTCGATCCCACTGGATATCATGTAACATTAAATTGTGGACAAATAAATTTAAGTTATCGTTATGTTGCAGAGCAACAATGTGTACGGAGTAGAAGACATTTACCAGCAATATAGAATGAGAATCACAACGTTGCTGAAAGAATTTTGCTTTGATTAATGAAAGGTGAGTCTTGACAAAACAGGTTAACCGATGCAGTGACAAATAACTACTTTTTCTTAGGAGGTCGAAATGATTATGTTAGTGCAACAGGTAGAGAGACAATTCGCGTTCACATTGTGCCTGCCTTCGACGTCTTTACCAAGTGAGTAAACATACTAATTGAATTCTGTCCTTTGAATATTACTTGCTCGTTTTAAATACTATACATTCAAAAACGAAAGACTAAGAATGGTTCTGCTTTGCTTCCTTTCAGTTGAATCAACGATATCGTACCTCGTACCTGCCACTCTATTAAAGGTACTGAATTTAAATACAAACATCGTTGTTGGATGGGACGGCATCATAGAACAAGCGCAAGAATCAAGCGCCCGACATTAAATTTAATGTAAATGAAAAGCCGGGATACAATTTTACAACCAGTGAAGGTCGTCGAATAAATCTGACTGGAGAATGTACATTTGGGATGTCGTTCGTGAACCTGAATGTGTATGATTAGATAATGAGAATGAACAAATAATTATTTACTTTTTCTTTCTTACGAGGGAAGGTCCCTTCATGTCCAGTCGTTTTTATCTTGTTCTCTGGAGACATGTCTTAAGTGAAGAGATTCTGATCTGTCGAGTGTAGGGCATGTCGAATTATCTATAGGATAAAGTTTTCCGATCTACCAAATAGTTTAGATTGAGGTATGAAAGTTTTACTAATAATTTTACGATAACCTGAAACAGTATTTTAGTTAATAAAACTTTCATACCTCAATCTAAACTATTTGGTAGATCGGCAAACTTTGTCCTATAGATAATTCGATATGCCCTACAATAGACAAATCAGAATCTCTTAACCTAAGACAAGTCTCCAGAGACCGGCTATCCACAGATCTATGGTGATAGCATCTAGCAGCCAAAATGAATATCAGATTTGGGATCAACATCAAATATTACCTTTAATCAATTAACGTTCAAGGTAAAAACGACTGAACACGTGAGGACCTTCTCCCGTTAATCTCTTTTTCGTACCCGATGTTGTTTTTGCTTTTCATCTGCGATTCATATTGAACTGTTATTTTCTAACTGAACGGTGATGACTTTTCAGAGATTAACCTGCTAATTCGTGTGTAAAGACTTTGTGTTTTTATTTGTTCATTCGTATCATAAACTGTCTTTCCATAGTAGATGATCGTATGCTAAGTGAATATCGACTATTATAGTGCCTAATGTACTGATTATAGTGGATCATCAGCAGTCAGGAGCGAGATTGCTATTAGTTACTGTTCGCTTGTACTTATTTAAAATTAGTCGTCGTTTTCTTTCTTTCATATCAGATATATTTCGGATCAAGTTGGTGCAGACTGATCTGCATCATGTCAACTGATATACATGATATTGATGTGAAACTAGTAGTGCGATTAAAGACAGCTAATTCTTCATTTTTTCATCCAATGGTTAAGCTCGTTCATCTTATTCATAATGGACTTGTATAGACAAACAATATATTTTCCATCTAGACTTGAGAACTGTCAAGCCTCACTGGGAAATTTGAATCAGAAATTCTCAAGAATCGAACAAGTTTTGTGGAAAATTAAAAAGAATGTTGTTTGGAAAAGGAAGTACAAGCTGGCACAATTTCAAAAAATAACTGTTCATTCCTGCGTTAATAGATCAGGGCTAAAATCTTTTAAAAATCACTAAAGAGTGATGTTAATTGTTCTTCACGTGACTTGTTTCAACACACACCTTTCGGAAAAGAGTAAGAAATATTAAAATAAAGTCCTTTATAATCAACTGTGTCAGTGTAATCTAAAGTGATGAAGATTTCGTTGTGCTAACATAACTCCGTTCGATTGTTAAATGTGGAACACCATTTTAGAAAGTATGCCGTAGAAAACGATACAAAAGGGGAAAACAGTACACTCAATACAGTAGTCGTTTTTGAAATTGGACTTAAACAATCTTGCGGTATCTTACAACGTCTAGAACTATTTTCCCAACATTTGTTGGTAATTGCCTTTTGCATTCCTTGCCGCTCATTTCCACAAAATTGAAATAACTAATAAAAAATGGTACTGCAAACAAGCAGTTATTCTTGAAAAAGGTAAGAAATATTCTGTTTTATATGACTTTCATAGATAGTAAAAGTAGTAAAATACTCATTTTTGGCACATGCTTTTACTAACAGAAATACACGAAAATAAATAGAATGGAATTTTTCTTGTACTGTTTTAGAAAACAGATCTCTTGGAATAGTCTCGGTAAAACGATATAAATTATAAGGTTCTGCGCCGCGTATGTTTTACTGTTTCAACAATGTTGTCCCAAAACGCAACAAAACCACGCAGTGGTTCTCGCTTCAAACTTACCAGGCTGATTTAATAATCAACAATTGATAACCGAGCGAAGTTATCATTTTCGAACCAGATTCTTTGTCTAAACACTTACCAACAAGAAGCTGTTGTTTCGATTAACGCAAGTTAAAAAGAATTTAATTAACTCTAATATTGGCACCAGTTTGAACATTATTGAGATGCTTACCATTACTTATCTAAACTAGTGCTATTTTAAATTTGTTTTAACGCATAGAGCTATGCTGACTTCAATTTTCGTATTTGCAGCCCAAAAATTATTTTCAAACTTTGTTTGGTTGTTTCCTGCTAGCCGTCAATTTTTCCCGTCAAAAATGGCCGCCGTTATATAAATATAAAAAAGGAAAGAACAAATTTGATTGATCAATTTTTTTGAAATCCAGTTCGTAGAAAAATCAATCAAAGAGAAATCGCTCTGCAATTGAAAGGTTGACTACGTCTGTTGCTAAATTATCATCTTTTCTCATTGGTTTGTATCATTTCAGTGAGAAAATATGAGGACACTCGTGTTTTTCTTTTCTCTTAAGAATTTCTGTTTCACATATGTTATCACTGTCCGTTATATGCAATACTATTTTCCAATGTGCCGCACCATAATAAGTATAGAGTTACATAAAAGAACATGAACACACTTCTTGTGATACAAAGGGGGATTTTCTGCATGAGAAAAAGAAATAAATAGAATCACTCTGTATTTTGTTTCAGCTCACTGTATAACTGAGTCGTCAGTAAACAAGATAGCTTGTTTGCATCATGTTTCCGAAGAAAAAATCGGGTAAAACATAATGAACATGTTAGCTTGACCGTGCTGGGGTCATATTATATTATGTTCTCGAAGAAAAGTCCGAGTAAAACATAATGTAAAGTAGTCTGAGAAAACGTTACGTAACCTTTGCAAGCCTCTGGATCGGAGTGCCCAAATCCACTCTTTCGAAATCAGGAGCTCTTCATTAATAATCAGGAGATGATGACAAAAAATCAGGAGCAAAATCAGGAGATTTTTTTTCTAAATCGGAAGAAAAACATGAGTATCAGGCAGTTTTTTTCTTGTGCAAGCAAAAGTAAAAATCCAGTAACTTTTTCCCAAAAAGTTTTTTTGAAATATTCTTAGATAGAACAGTATTATCATTTGTTACAGACTGCAGTACGCATTGAAGAAGAGGATTTTCATCCACTGGATTTTGAAGTGCACTAATTTCATCTTCTTATGATGAGAACATTCGATAAGCATACAGCGGACTCTTTCAATGTACAATTATTTAGATTCTTGATCCGGAAATGCTGTTTCTGAAACTGATAATCTCAGTTTTGGAAAAAACAAAATTGATGCAGGAAAACAATTGAAAATCAGCTCCTGAAATCCGAAGATTTCATGAGGAGAAAGGTCTAAAAATCTGGAGTCTCTTAGCCAAATCAGGCGATTTGGACATTCTGCCCACGAAAAACGTTAAACGTTGATTGAGACTTTTTTGAAGAAGATCTCTTTACAGTGTATCTCGGGCTAGGTACTTCACAGTAAAAATTTGAGCTCGAAATATTGAGTCTTCCCTCAATATACCTTAAGATTAAGGGTCAAGAATGGGCTTCGCCGTTTCCTAAATTTCTCTGCCATTTCAAACGCTAGAGAGCTCGGGTTGGTTTTAATAATGTAGCCTAGATCCGGGGCTACAACCTGACAGAGTCCGACTTTCTTTTTGTGTTGTAGTATCTTCTTTTTTAAGCTTACTTTATAAGATATGATAAGAATAGGGTGTATATTGTAAAACAGTTGAACCTCATGAGATATTAAACGTAAAATCGAAACTTTCGGCTCTCTCAAATTGTAGCGCTGATCATTCCCTTCATTTTGGGACCAACCTCAGCTTTCTAGCGTTTAAAATGATGCAGAATTTTGGGAAATACAGAAATGTGAAGACAAAAATCCATATCATGAGAAAAACGCAAAAGAAGTTTTCTAAAAAAGTTGATTTTCGTCAAATTTTTCGATTTTTTGATTTATAGTGTGTCAGATAGAGCAAAGTGTGGGCTGTCGAACACAGTATAATTTATTTATTTATTTTATCATGACTTTTGAAGATGTTACATAATTTTTTTGGAACCTCATATTCTACAAAATAACATTTTCTCGAAAAAATGTGAAGACAAAAAACCATATTATGAGGAAAACGCAAAAGAAGTTTTGGAAGTGTAATTCAAGACTTTTTCTACGGTAAATTGGTGTAAAAAGAAGTTTTGAGTGATTTCACGTAGATTATGGATTAGAAGGAATTGAATGGAGGGGTTCAAAGGCGTATGGCGAAAACTTTTGTTTATTCCATAGGTTATGTCGTGATCACCGTGAAATCAATTAGGACTGCACCTATAATCCGAATGAAATCATCGGAATTTATATCAATAAATTTATATCATATAATAATACCACTTCCAAAATATTTAAACCAAATCAAAACATGTTGAACTCCTCATACATGAAAATAGTTTGCGAAAAGTTTATTAACTGGTGTCTTCAAAACAATGTAAAGAAAAAAATAAGAAGATCACAACTAGTTAGAAAATGATATCATAATAATATGTCATAAAAACTACATATGAGTAATCTAGGATAAATGATGGTGAGGTAGGAAAAACTAATCATCGCCTCCCGGTTCATAATCACTGCATGCGACATCTTGCGACCGGTTCAATGCATTTAAATTATTAGAAATATCACCAAAACTATCATCATTTAGATTTAGGACAAATGGAATTTTATCATCATTTTCGCTTGAAGAGATATTAGTAGCAGCAGCAGTTGTTGTTGTTGTTTTTGCTCGTTTTAAACGTCTTTTTTTCACTTTCGGAGTAAAAGATTTCCTCACTTCATCAAGTCGAGTGAAACATTGAGCAGAATAATAACCCATAGACGAGATGATGCTTGTAAATAATTTATCTAAAGAATCAAATTGGAATTGAATACATAATTGCAAGCAAAGACCGTTTATGACGTAACTCACGCTTCGTATGATTGACAAAGTTCCTATTCCAGACGAGATGATGCTTGTAAATAATTTATCTAAAGAATCATAGCCATCGTTGTAAATGATTGTCGATAGGCCCAATGCAATACGGAGAATTGTTGACGAACAGTAATGATGCTAAAGGACCATCGGGCACAATAATGAGTGGAAAACCTCGTTGGCATTTTGAGAGCTACCATCTAACACACGGGCTAAACTAGTGTGAGAACATAACTCTTCGAACACTGGCTTGATCAGATCTAAGCATGCTTGTGGAATGTTGGATTTTGTATTGTAAGTATTTATGTACTTTCGCATCACCATCTCCAATATAAGAAACATAAATAATTTTATATTTTGATAAAGACTGACAAAACATTTCATGGATCATCTCTTTTCCTATTTCACTCGATGTTCCTGAATTAGAAAGACTTTTACTTAGGGCAGTCCAAAAGTAGTGACGGAGGCTCTTTTTTTTCTTGTATATCAATGAAAAAAATTTTCTTTTTTACCACTAGATAGAGCAGCATGTTTCCGAGAAGCAATGAGCATGTTACCGAGAAGAAATCACATGTAGATGGTTTTTTTCACTATTGCTACCAGCCAGACTACCGCAAAAAAGTTTTTGTCGGAATTTTATTACTATGTTCTTAGTTGGATATTGATCAAATAGCATAGAAAGATAGAGCGAAACATGCTCTATCTAGTAGTGAAAAAGAAAATTTTTTCCATTGATATACAAGAAAAAAAGAGCCTCCGCCACTACTTTTGGACTGCCCTAAGTATGATAAAGTAGTATTCAATTCATAACAGCTTACCTGTATAATTCAGTTGGCATTCATGGTTCTCCTGAAAAGTACGAAATAGATCAGAACTCACTTGACGTAGACTTTCTGCTCCTTGACATTTAGAGCACTTTTTAGAACACCAATTAGTATCTACAATTTTTGGACATGTTGTTGTTGATCACAAAGCTGAGATTCCATGAACGCTGGAAAATCCTCGAGTGAGCCACGCACCGTCTCTACTTATTATTAAATTTCGTACACCACCAGCTTCAACGACTGCTTCTTCAACGCAGCTATCATTGATTGTTCTTGAGCTTTTTCCACATAATTTAAAATAAATTCTTGTGCTTCACGATACTTTTGTTCCTGCACTGGTGGTGGTAGATTTAAAGCACCTAGTGATTTCGTTAATCCATTACAACCTAAACCACATAAAGTACCACCAACCGCTAATCGAACATTTATATCATGATGTCTACTATTTGGTGTTTGTGGTGATGAACATAAATGAGTGAGAAATCCACAACTATGACATTTAAATCCAAGTTGCATGTACAAACCATTTCGTTCTTTAACAGATACAGATCCATCCCATAAATTGTTGCATTCAGAACATAAAAACTGTTGTAGTAATGAGATTAAAGAATTTAGATGAATAATTAAATAAAATTCATATTATCTTCAATATTTTCTATGCTTGATGTGGACTGATTTTGTACTAAATTCGTTGATTCTTCGTTGATGTCTGATGACGATGAATAACCACGCTTCCTGTTTAGATTTTCCGGCCGAATTTGTTTGATAATCTTCTATTTTTTTTTTTGTAACTAATACTTCTTTTACCCATTGAAACGTTTATTGTTATGACAAAAAGTATGCGTTATTATAGGTATTGCCGTTCAATACAAGAAGTGATGAGAGATGTATATCGCGTTTATTTTATACGTGAGTAAAAATAAACAAAGACAGTATCTCGACTAGATGAACAAGAGAAAGTTGAGAACAAGAACGAACGAATCTAACTAGAGCGACGAACAACAACAACAGGAGTGATCACACATATATATGTGAAGAAGGTGCAGTCCTAATTGATTTCACGGTGATCACGACATAACCTATGGAATAAACAAAAGTTTTCGCCATACGCCTTTGAACCCCTCCATTCAATTCCTTCTAATCCATAATCTACGTGAAATCACTCAAAACTTCTTTTTACACCAATTTACCGTAGAAAAAGTCTTGAATTACACTTCCAAAACTTCTTTTGCGTTTTCCTCATAATATGGTTTTTTGTCTTCACATTTTTTCGAGAAAATGTTATTTTGTAGAATATGAGGTTCCAAAAAAATTATGTAACATCTTCAAAAGTCATGATAAAATAAATAAATAAATTATACTGTGTTCGACAGCCCACACTTTGCTCTATCTGACACACTATAAATCAAAAAATCGAAAAACTTGACGAAAATCAACTTTTTTTGCCATTTTCAAGCCTTTCCAGTTTGTAGAGGATACGTTGAAGTATTTGTTCTGACGTTTTCTCAGCTTACTTCCATTATTTGGCTGAGAAAAAACTAAATTACTTTAAAAAATGTTATTACGTTTATAAGCACGGGCCTATTATTAAAAAACTTCTTATCTATTCTCTATTCATCAATGATGAATCGATGGAAAACTTGGTTCTTGTCTGCATCGACAGGGAAATGTACGGAGAATATTTACTGCAAGACAATATGCAAAAGTTTGGTAGAGAATTAAATTCCTCTTTGTTTGTCTATTCTACTTTTCCCGTTTTCGAAGGTTGAATCTAATTCAATGTTTGCTTACTTTTAGATTTAATAATGATTTCGTATTATTGTTGCTATTAATCAACCTTATTTGAAAAGCGTTGAACTATTCTCTAACATACACCCTACTTTCTGCTTCGAGTCAGCCACCTCCTCTTAGCCTATCACTGGTAGTACAGATTTGGAAAAAATATCATTCGAGAGTGTAAGAGAGGTAGATGAAGCAGCTGAGGTATTTTTTCGATATATTTTAGTTATTAAGTAATGAGTGCCAAAAGTTGAACATATTTTTAATAACTTTTCTATGAGATAATTAATTATCACGTGATGCTCCACATACATTCAGTATGAACAGTGCAGAGTGACTCATTAAATAGTCACGTGCTACTTATCAGTCTATACTTCTGTATAGTTTGATGTATTTATGGTCTGAAAGATTACTGCCGATAGAATCCATCGATATGTTTACTACTAGAGCACTACAGAGTTCTAATCGTGTTCAAGGGAATCAAACGGTGTATAAAATATTTTTAAGATACGTTTCACTCGGTCGGGTTTCTAATTTGCCCGTAGGGTAGTTGGTATCTAGTTCTTTAAACCGACCAAGTGAAACTAGCATGCACTTGTTATGCACCGAAAACTGTTATTAAATGTACGTAAAATATGGCATGGCATGTGAATGGCAGCGTTGAATGCACTGTTCACCCACTCAATATGCACTGCGATGCTTTGAGATACACAAACTCTACTTTTTTTTGGTTTCTCTGTCGTATCTGTATTTGAAAAATAAAAAATAAAACCCTTACTTTGCCATTTTATTTTCATTGTGTGAATTATTAGAAGAAGACTGCAGTTTACTGATTCTGTTTGAATCTATTGCTTTAGATAAAAGTGAACATAATGAGTGTGAACAAATTTGTTTTACTGCTCGTTATACTATACTAACTATATTATACAGATTGGTAATTAAACCGTGTGCATGTGGTAGGCATCTCCAAGAGTGGCTAAATGGAATGCTTACAAGAACATAGCCTTATTCCTCATTCGACTTTGTTGTTCGAAAATGTTTTACTTTATTATTCAAAAAATTTATTTATAATCGCAGAATGCCTTATGATGACTTCTGTATGAAGCCGGAAAGGTTGCATTCTTATTTTGCACTTTGTTAAAGTTTAAATTAATTCAATACGTTAAAACCCGAAAAATCTGTCATAAATTGATATATCGAACACTATATCGATGTATACAGTGTGCAGCTCAAGAAATGATGATGTTTTATGAGCAGAAAACCGCGATTGAATAGTGAGCATTGAGAAAATTGGAATTGAATACATAATTGCAAGCAAAGACCGTTTATGACGTAACTCACGCTTCGTATGATTGACAAAGTTCCTATTCCTATACCACAATAATATACTCAGAATATCTATTTGTTTTCATCACGTCTTTCAATCGATGGATCTTATGATTACGATATCCCCATGTTCATCGGATCTTCTTGATTCAAGCATCGAACGTTTTTATCAGAGTTTGTGCCGTCTTGAGTGATTATTTCCCTGTATCATAAACAAATCGGTATTTATTGGCTTTCTGTAATGTCTTGTTGCATGCCTATCTTTTGATCCATTAATCAATACGTCTGGAATGGTGATTAGTTGTTCGTTTTCGTTTGTAAAGTGGATATAAGTTCAAATGCCATTTATTAATGCGCCCTTGAAAGTCAATTATTTTTGCCAGCTCGATCGTGAATATGCAGCATATGTCATCAACATATCGAACCCAAACAAGAGGCTTGTTCATGAGAATCGATTTAACGAATGTTTCATTTTTGTCATGAATATATCCGCTAAAATGGATGCAAGTGGTGATCCCATAGCGATACCGCTTGTTTGCAAATAATGTCGACAGAGGGAACGGAAGGTCGCGAAAGATACCACAAAACTGTTTTTTTTTCATCATTTTTCGATCGAATGGTACATCTGTAATTTTTTTTAGGTTTATGCATTAGATCTAGTACCAACTGTCGTCTCATTCATCGGTGTGATGGTATATAAGGATTCGATGTCAAAGCTGCATATCTTTTGCTTGTAATCTACTACCACCTGCAATATCATTTTGACAAATTCTAATTAATCCATTTTGTAGGTAGCTCAAGTTATTTACATTTTGAAATTTAGGATGCGAGATACTGTGAGGGTTCCTAGGTATACAAACAGTTATTTTCTGCTCTTTCAGTTCTCCAATGATTTTATTCATTCTAGTTGGTCTATCTTTTAGCAGACTTTCATTGAATTGCTTACTGTTCAATTTCTGCGATATATTCCGTCTTCTCCAGGATTGTTGTCGAGTTTCTCGCTCGTTACTCTTCTTCACCACGTAGAGATAATCCTATGAGGAAGTCTTCTGAAAAGCGAGCGCACACACAAAAACACAGCAAATAAACAATATTAACAGAACTTTTTTTCAGTTCTTGATTAGTGAATAACTTATCGCAAGCATCGCCCTCACCCTCATATCGAAAAGTAGATGTTATCTGAAGCAAAGCGCTAGAATAATATTTCAGTTTTGTTGCTGAACTAGCTCCTTAATATTTGTGTATCATATAAGAATTATACATATGAAGAATGAAATGTGATGATTTCAACAGGAGCAAAATGAGTGTATATGATTTTATTTGAACTACACTTCTGACAATGTATTATATATTTCGAACATGCATACGAATACCACGCAGTGTTCGACGCATTTTTTGTGCGTAAAAATTGGAGGACGAAACAATAAGATTAAGAGAAATGCACATTAGATCTACATCGAATAAACTACAGAGCTTAGAGAAGTCGTGTTTTGAAGAGAAAAATTTTCTGCAACAAAAACACTTAGTCTAATCTTTAAGATTAGAGATTAGAGAAGGAAGTATTTTTCATGAAAATGTTGCCAGTTGCATTCTCTATTGACAGTTATGTGTTTGAGTTTATTCCCCAACCTTTTAGCTGAGGAAAAGTTGTTATGGAAAATATGTCTTAAATTAAACCTTGAGTGGCTACACATCGTTGTATGTAGAGATTCAAAATACTAAAACATTTTCTACTAAAAAAAAGTCAGATTTTTTATGTTCTTTCTGGATGTTCTTGTGCCATTGCTAAATTAAAATAAATTTCACCGTTTTGCAATAATTCCTCATGTGTTCCTTCTTCTCGTACCCTACCGCAATCAACTACAGCTACTTTATCGGTATTTGTAATCGTCGATAAACGATGAGCAATTATCACTGATGTTCGACCAGCGCGTGCCTTATCTAATACGTCCAACACAATCTAAACAAAAGAAATAAATTTAAAAAAAGAGTCTGCAACTACAGTGGGTCGAAAAATCATTGGTCCATCCCTGTAGGATCCTTTTGTTCTGTTTACCAAAATTTATATTTACAAAATTTACTCCATCGAATAGTGCGTCTTGCAATATAGCTTCGCTAAAATCGACGTTCGTCACATTCGAATTAACAAAGTGTGCCCCGTTCAAGTTTATGTATCCAGAGTCTGTATCCGTTAATATTGCATCCGTAAATTCTACATTTTGCATATTCGACTGAGCGAAATGTGTTCTTAACAGTATTGTATCATCAAATTTGGAGTTAGCCATTAATGTCTGAGCGAAATTTGTTTGTTCAATATCGAATCCGCTAAATGTTACTTCCTTCAGATTATATCAAAAAAACTAACTGAACGTTTAGCTACATTTTCATCCACTCGCTCACTGTGGCCGTTGTGCTCTTTCGTAAACGGTGATATTTCACCAGCGAATGAATATTTTGGTGTCTCATCTCATAAATTATGAAAAATTTATTGTCGGGAGGTAAAAGATGTGAACAAAAGCTTACTTTTTTTTCGACGACATGGATATCCGATAAACTGATCGTTGGTTTCTGATTACCAGCAATAGCAAATGAGCGATGGTCGTCAGAGTGCGTACTTGTCATTGTTTTCTGACTTTTTTTAAAAACCTTATTATCGATTGAGTTATTAAAGGGCAAAATGTATGAATATCGTCTATTTTTAAAGAGTATTATTGGAAGAGGGAAATTAAACTGATAAGAAATCGACCTTTTGTTTGCCATATAATTATTTATGGATGATTTTGTCGTTTTCATTGAGGTTTATCTGTAAGTAGGGAATTATAACTGAGCTCAGATCTAGTTTTCTGCTGACAGTAAACAAACGTTTTGAAAAAACCAGACAGTATTAGATAAGAATACAAAATTCTGCTTCTACGTTGAAATATAAATTATGTATTGTACTGTTGAGCCTGAGCCAGCGAAGATATTCGCGAATGAATGCTTAACATCAAGTATTTCTAAAAACAAACTTGCTTTTCCGATAGCATGAAGTAGTTAGCGAGAATTATCTGCCAATTTTTTTCGATAGGGAATGCACTTTGAATAAAGTCAGGCGAGCCACTAAATGAAGTTCGTATGACGATATCCAATTCACGAAAAATGAGCTTCCGCTCTTTTACCGAAACTGAGACTACACGCCACTGTGCACTGCTACAGTTATACCTATTAGGTTTATCATGAATTGAGCCTACATAAAAGGATTCTGCCATCTCCAATAACCACTATTTCGAGGGAAAACCGATGTGCTTTAGTGCAATAACAACTTGTTGGTGAGGAATGATTAATCTCGCCGTAGTGTAGAAACGCAGAACAGTTTAATGCAATCGGAAAGAGAAGTACAAATATACAAAGTTCGACGGTAATTTTAAGTACCTTATTGCTTTTTTTTAAAAAAAACTGTGTGCTTCTCATTTCTGACTTTTTCTTCAATATCCATTTATTTTGTTTTTTTACTCACGGAGTGAAGCTTTATTATTAAAGCAGTCGTTTACTGAGTCATACAGACCATGTCTTCACAAGATTATACGATTTTCTGGGTTGAGTTCTTTTTTATTATAGCTCTTTTCATTACGTCCTTCGTTTTGCTAATTGTGGGAGGCGTAAAGCTCCACAAATCACACCGCATTTACATCTTCTGCCATGTCTTACGCCTTCAGCTTTTATTAAACCCTCGCCCACCTCCGACTCATCTTCTTCTTTTAAACTCAATTTCACTCCTTTTTTCTCATGAACACAGCGGGCAATTGTCACGTTAAGACTGTAGAAAATCCGATGTAGTTCGAGCAAGTTGAAAAAATCAAACAACATAAACCACAGCTCGACCGGCAAACATTCAATCGTGGTCTCAACAAAAGGCCCTGAAGCGTATTTTGCCGATTTTTGATGCGTATTTACTCGATGGTTTGTCCGTATTTAGTCGATGTTTTGACAGCATTTCGTCGACGTTGGTAGTATATGGAGGACTTAGCCGAAATTTTGCGTAGTTTTCTGCCTGATTTTGGTGACGTTTCTTAGAACAATTTTTTTTCTGGCGCTATTGAGAATGGGAGTAGAGGGAAGCGTATTTGCTACTCTTCAGTTCAAGTAGACAGTTGCTTTTTGTTTGAACAGGTTTATCTGTGAACTACAGTAGGTTTCCTCACCACTGTTTTTGGTAAAAAATCGGAAACACATTTTTTCGTAATGTAGCAAAACAACAGTTGGCAGTTTAATTTCGAAAGTAGCAGTAGCACAGCATTTCGTCGACGTTGACAGTATATGCGAGGACTTAGCCGAAATTTTGCGTAGTTTTCTGCCTGATTTGGCGACGTTTCTTAGAACGATTTTTTGTCAGTTTTTGCCCATGATTTTACAATCCTTTTTGATGTTTTACAAACATTTTTTGCCATCTTTACTTGCGTGATATTTATTACAAGCCTATTTTGTGATAAGTGTAAAGAGTGGCGTGAAAGTTTTATATAGGGATATTCAGTAGTATATGCTACAGGCCCTGAAGCGTATTTCGCCGATGTTTAATGCATATTTAGTCGCTGTTTTGACAGTATTCGTCGATATTTTGCACGTATTACGTGGTCATTGGTACGATATTACGACCACTTAGCTAAAATTCTGGATAATTGTCAGCCTTATTTTGCCGACGTTTCTTATAAACATTCTTGGTCTCATATTTTTTCTTCTTACTCACGCAAAATTTTTGTTGGCGGCATAAGTTCTAGGGAGGAGTTTCACATTTTACACTTTCAGGTCTACGCTGACAAATCTTTTTTATAATTACAAGTGTTTTCGCCTGTAATATAAATTATTTATTGAAAAAAAACATTTTACTTTACCCAAAAAATACAGTTCCTCCTCTATAAAGAGACCTTTTTAAGTTGCAATGTGACAAACAGGTCACATTAACCTGAAAACTTTACAACAATAATGTAAGGGTTTTTACCGAGAAAAGCTTCCCCGCATGAACTTTGGGCCCACGTCTTTTTTCCGTTGAAGTCATTGACCAGAGCCTTTTTTTCACGAATCCAATAGTCAGTCTGAAATCGAGCGAGAATTTCTTCTTGCTGAACATGCGTTGTACTAGTACAAGCGAGCAATTTTATGTAAAATTTCTCGAGCATCGGCGTTGCTTGTATTAGTGCTGCCCACTGATCGCCGTTAAAGAGTTGTGGAACATCTACTTCATCAAGACGCAATTTTTTCAAACCTGCTAGCCGTCTAACCAGATTTTCAATATCTTTAAAATGTATATCATCTTGATATATAATTCGAAGGGAGTTTACAAATATCGACGGAGACGAAAGCAAAACTGAAGGGTTTGAATATTTTAGATATTCAATGCAAAGATTTTCTATTTTTGATTGCTGCGAAATTAAAGTAAAAATATCTTCCTGTGTCTGCGTGGAACTTCCAATGTGTAAACTACTTAAATTGATTGTCTTTTCCAAGAAACTCCTACTTACGGAATCTTCAAGGTAAAAGAAACCGTCGAGGATACGTAAACGCTTTAAGGAACAGTGCTCGTCAGTGTGCCGTTTGTCCAAGTAATCCCATATCGGTAAAAGTACACGTTCACCGACTCGTTTACCGTAACCTCCAAAGTCTATTTTAAGCATCTCCAGCTTGTCTAATTTACGCAGAACTTCTTCTGATAACGAGAATGAATTGTTATCGTCTTGACAGAATTCGAGGACGCGTAGCTGCGTGAAATATGTTGACACTGGGTAGTAGTACAGAAAGCGACACGCTGACGTGTAGTTTCTTGCGTGACAATCAGCATAAGCAATAGACAGTGACCATACATTACCCAACAGGAGCTTTAGCTCATCCTCATGTGCCATAAAATATCCAATACCACTGCCATGTCTTACGCCTCCAACTTTTTTTAAACCCTCGCCCACCTCCGAATCATCTTCTTCTTTTAAACTCAATTTTACTCCTTTTTTCTCATGAACACAGCGGTCAATTGTCATGTTAAGACCGTAAAAAATCCGATGCAGTTCGAGCAAGTTGAAAAAGTCAAACAACATAAACCACAGCTCGACCGGCAAACATTCTATCGTGGTCCCAACAAAAGGCATTTTATTTAGAACTCTAAAAGTAAAAAACCGAGATCCGCTGTTATTAAACAAACTTGATCTGCACAGAAAAGCTACACTTAAACTTACGAAGGTAGGATTAATCGTTTATTTGCTTGTCGAGTGTTTTCTTTTTTTTTGCAGATGTAATATTATATGATACTTTTTCACATTTATTGTTCTTCTACTGCGTTTTATTTTACTGTTCTATTAAATTTTTTTTTTGAAACATGAACACAGTTTGAATTATAGCGTATTTACGAGAACCGAGAAAATAGAGTCATAAAAAGTAATAAAAAAAAGAAAAATAAGAAAATTGAAGGGTGGATGAAGCGGTGAGCGATTTCGTTCTATAATAGGCAAAATATTCAAGGGATCGAATTACTCAGTTCTGTAATCAACTTCTACAATCGAAATATAAGGATTTCCCGAAACTTTATTAAGCTTCCATCAATAGAAATAAAATTCGATCCGTTGTTTAGCCCATTTAGTTCTCATTACTTGCTAACCTGTCGGTTATGTTACAGCTTTTTCTCAATTTTTAAAGTTTCGAGAAGTAACTTTTTCATTAAAGGAAAGCCAATTCCTTTGTAGCTTGGAATACATACCATCATTAAAGGCTCACAAGCTGTTGAACCGCCCGATCCTTGGTTAAACTTTTTAAGGTGGATCTAGCTTAACCGGGTCGAAAACCGTGTTATCTAGCTCCAACCACCCGATTCTAGCTCCATTTTTTTTGCTTGGGTACTTTCGGAACATATGGAACATATACTTATCTGTATTAGAATGATAATGATGAGTGAACAACTAATGAATTCAACGTCGAACAAATGAATGATTTAGCAGCTGTTGAGTCTTATTTTTCTCGCTTTAACTTTCTGAATTAATTAAGGGAAGAACGATTGTCAAGATTAAATAATTTATTAAAGAATAGGAATAAAAATGAAACTCATTGTTGCATGCGGTATAGATTAACATAGCAAGTGTGATTGAGGAAACGTCATTCATCTTCGGCCCAATATGGCACTAATGACGCTGATAATCGTAGATATTGTCGAGCCATATAGACACTTTCTGACAGTAATGCTCTTGACAAAACCTCTTCAAAAGAAAACTGGTAAAATTTATTTCGATTAGTCTTTAAACTTACCTTCATTATCCTCGGACTCTGAAGTTCTGCAATGTTCATCTGTCATATGTAGTGAAATGTAAGCTTCCTTCTCATATAGAATAATTCACTTGCCCTTTACTTCATGGACGAGTTGACTCTTGTGAGCGCACAGTGAGATACAATCGAAAGCCACCGCATTCTATAACAACCGAAACTGGAAAGAAAAATTCATATCAATTTTGTATTAGTTAAATCAAAAACTGTTGACTTCTTTTTTATCAGAAACATACGACTAACCCTTTGCTATGACAAATACTCATCTAATGAAAGTCGCCAAAAGCAACTGTTCTACGGAAATATCTGGCTCGATTATTCCTAGTTGGTATCACGGTAAGATTAACAACAATTAAATCGGTCTGTTTTTTGATCATGGTGAATGATCGAACATTTTCTGTTCTTCTGTTTCGGCTGTAGTACTGAGGGAAGATGACTGAGAGTTCACACCATAAAGGTAGACGATAACTTTTATATCATTTAAATAATCTCATAATGACAACACAAAATGGTAAATAAAAGTCATAGGAATGCTTAGGCCATTCGATGATGATTTTTTAAACTTGCGACAATTTCCATGGCATGAGTAGCGCTAAATTCATTATCGTCTGCTGGATGACGGTGTATACATTATATGATAACTTATGGACGAAAACTATACCCAAACTTTTGCTTCAAAAGCACGCTGAAACTTTTGATTATTACTTCAGGAGTTGAAACGATGAAACAACATGGCGGTAGCAAACAGTTTTAGCTCAACAGAAAGTCGAAAATAAAACATGTTTTCGGTCGTCATCTATTCCAGCATACCAGCTCGTCTTATCCTCCAGCTTCGACAATTCTACTTATTGATATGGTGTTTTCTTTCGTCTATTTTAGATTGGAAGGCGTTATGTAATGAACTATTAGGTCGTAGTTCCCCCTATCTATCACACGAATGATATCGAATTTAGAATTATATAACTCATAACCTCATAATCAACATCTTTTAATCACTACTGTAAGTCATTCTCTTTTCTAGCAGAAAGTTCTAATTAGAATGTTCGGCATCTTCATTTAGAATACGCGAGCTTTTTAAAAAAATGACGGACTTAATCACGATAGAGTTAGTTTCACTTTACTTTTTTTCTAAGAAAAACGTGTGTGGTTGAAGTGTGAAGAGAAGCGATGATAATAAGGAAAAACATACGTAATGTGATTGGTTTTAGTATAACAACGAAATAAAATGAAACAGAGCACTGCAATTTTTGTCATTCACGAAAAAAACATAAATGAAAACATTTCCGGAATCACACACAGAAAATTATATATCTAAGTAGAAAACAAAAAATAAGAGAAAATGAAGCAAACACGAAAAAAAGAATCAAATTTGTTTTTGGAAACCAATAATCTCCATGTTAGGTAGAATATCAGAAGGCGTAAGCAAATTTCTCTATAACATCCATAATAGTTTAGCTTTGTGCTGATCATCCTGTCATCAATGTTATTTTCTCAAATACATTTTAGTAAGCTTACAAAACTCTCGACATATATTTTCTAAAAAAAAACAAAAAAGAAAACTGACAAAAAGAGAACTTAAATACTTTTTCTAATGTTTGGCTATGTGAATCGTTTTCTTTTTCTTTTGTAACATATTACACGTTTTCTGTGAACGGATTTTACTTGTGTCTATTTACGTAAACAAGATGTGTATACATGGATGTACGTGCGTATTAACAGGAAAAAAGTATGTTTGGACTGTCTTTTGCTAGTGATGAAATTTTGAACATTAGAAAAAATCACCACTGTATGTCGTCCTCCTTTCTAGCAGAAAGTTCTAATTAGATACAGTATCTGTCAAGGGGGAAACTGCGGACTTTATAGACCTGAGCGGACTTTAAAGTCCTCTCAGATCTTCTAAATTCCCAAAGTCCGCCATAGTCCCGTCAAGTCCTCTGAAGTACGCTAAAGTCTGGTCAAGTTCCGTTCAAGTCCAATTAAGCCTCGAAACATCCAGTGTGACACAATGGCGTATTTCTTTGAGTATCACGATTATTTATTCGTAAAAGTGACGAGACAAATAAAACTAATAAATTTTCTGTTACATGAACTATAACTGAACTATAAATATTTGACGTAGAGAAGTGTTGAACAGGAAATGAGTGTGATCTATTCTTCGTTGCAGGATGCATACGCATATAGACATAAAAACGCTTTCCGCTACTTAAAAGAGGACATATACGGCTTTTCTATTCCTCAATTCACTGTGAATGATAGTTAGATAAATTTTCCTATCTGCTAAGGGTTAGCGTCGTTGTTATTTCTAAAACAACATTCATCAATAACGCTCGTATTTTGAAAACTCAGACTCTACAATGGATTTGCCTGACGACTGTTTTGAGTATTGCGGCACGGAGTTCTTTGATTTTGTTCGGAAGTTTGCTGGTCCATTAGAAGCTGAACTGCTGAAAATTCAACACGTACGAAGTGTACCGTCACTCTTGAAGATACACGTTGAATTGGAACATTTGAAAAATATCATCGAAAAAGAGTCAAAATTACTGCATGGTTTAATCAAATCTGATATTTATCCGAAAGATAGACAAAATTTTTCCTCTTGTGTCAGAATTTCATCTGATGACGTTCTCCATCTACTACAGCGAGATCACGAGGCAAAAGGAACACACGTTTTTCTTTCAGTGATTCGCTATATAATGAGAGCATTCATCGATCGGGACACTACCATTGATGATAGACTGTTTTTTTCCTGGCTGTTTTCATTTGTCGCCTTTGGCAGGCGTGGTTACACTGCCAGTCAACAGCGAAGAAAATACAAACAACAAAGAACGACAGAAAAAAGAAAACAAAACAATATCAGTTTATTACGAGTTCTGCATATTACGGGGTCGAGCTAAATACGCACACGTTCACATATCTATGTTTGCTGCGTATGTCGGCTGAAGTCCTGAATATCTATCTATTCAACTCACAGATCTGTGAGAGCACATTCCGCATAGCAAGAAGTATGTCCGGCGCGTTTTCGTCAGTGACGAATTTCACCGTCTGTCAGTTTATGAAACGCGCCGAAAAACTATCTATGTTGCATACAATTAAATCGAGCGAGCGATTAAAACCGAATGATGGTTCATCTCCGACAATTTTTTTCCCCCAACATCATAAAACAAAAGTAAAACAACAAAGTGCATCGCACAAGGATGCAAGTTTTCTGAAACTATCAAGGGCAAAAATTCAGACGATACTTGAAAATGCCTTCTAGAGTGTTATGCGGGTGATGAATCAGTTAAAAGTGACCACATTGTTGGAGCAGAACAAATTTAACGAACTGAAATTGTTGAGCGTCTATTTTGATCAACACTTCACATTCACTTCACGACTCAAAGACAATTCGCAAGCAGTCGAGAGTTCTGAAAGCGAAGATCAGACGGAGAGTGTTGATGATGATGAGAACTCGACGACAGACAAAAGCGAAGAAAGTGACAGCGATGGCGAGAACGTGTTGTCAACAGCGACTAGCAAAGATTTTCCTCGGATGCGAATCTACGACTCTATTAATCCGACGTTGGCAAACACATTTTTTCAGATAAAGCTCGGCGACACCGAGAAATACATTCACAAACAGACCGCATGTTGGACACTGACGCACAGTGGGCATCTAGGCGGACATTAGGTGAAAAATCGAAGTCGCTCCTTTTTCGAAAACAAATAGTCTAGAATGTAGCCCTTGAAAAGTGAGCGCGACTTGCGCGGACTTTGGTGACTTTAAAGTCCGGTAAAGTCTGCTTAAGTCCGGCCAAGTCCTCTCAAGTCCGCTGGACTTATCAAAGTCCGCTCAAGTCTAAAGTCCGCAGTTTCCCCCTTGTATTTTTCTCATTTTAAACGAGACGAAAAACAATGCCTGTTATATAAGGCACGTTATTTCTTAAAGTAGACTACTTTCATACTCGAACTTTTTGCAGTTTATATCGGCTTTTCGTACCTTTTTAAAATAGAACTAAATCAGTAAACTAAACCAATTTACAGAGTAAGTGCACAGCACTTGCAATGAGTGAGAGAATAGGGATATATAACATCTTTCTATTTACTGTCGTTCGCATAGTTGCAATTTTTCTTCATTCATTTTCAGTATCAAAAATGGTTCTTCTTTATCATGAAATACCAGCTTTCTTAGTGTATAGANTAGACTCAGTTAATATTTGCTGTGTAAAGATCTCAAAATAAATCTGCACAGAAGTGAGAAATGCATGAAAGGTTAATGTTATAACAATTGTGAGTATCCTCGGTGTGATATCGCTTTGCCATTAGTGACTCTCAGGATGTACCGATGATCAGTTCGGTTCTGTTTGACGCACAAAGGATTGGGGCTCAGTCATTCCGTCTCATTCGCAGAATATTAGATTGGCTCTAATAACGAACTGATCCTAGCGATAATATCTACGGGTATACATTCTCTGAAAGTCCAAGCGTGAATGTTTTCTTCACATATGGCAAACGATACCTTACGGTAAAACTCACAGGCGAGCTATAAAACATTTAACCACTCTCTCTTTTATTCTGCGATCAAATGCCAGTTATATGGCAAACCATAATTGAGAAATACATGAGAAAAAACTATTAATATGATACTTATGACAAGTAGAAAGGATTTAGACAAAGAGGGAGCGTGTTAATAAAACTGCTGTGTACAAGTTTGATCTCAACTTCAAAGTGAGTCTGAGGTGAATGACTGACCCTGATTGCATTATGTTCCCGAAGAGAAAACCAGGTAAAACACGGTGAAATCACTGTTTCAGCTACGTTAGGACACACTTTCTTTTTAAGTGACTCTTTTATATCAAAAGTTGTTGTTTTTCACTTTTTTTGTGACATATACGGACTGTGTTAATCTGCGAAAGAGATGTGTCTCAAAAGAAAACTTGTCCAGAAATTCGAGTGTGTAGCATTGTGACTAGCGAAAATGAGACCTATTTAGATAAGGGAACAGTAAGGAACAATTTACTGTGTACATCCTCTGAATTTACTACCTGACTCTCTATTTATACTGATTTTTCCGTTTCAGATAAAGATTATAACAAGATCAAAGCATTGTCTGCTCGCATTCAAATTTGATTGTACTATGTTCTCGAAGAAAAGTCCGAGTAAAACATAGTGCAATCGTAGATAATAAACGGGAACTGGAAAAATGTGGAACTAGTACGTACCGGTACAACATAGCATGTCGTCCGCACTAGTAGTGCCGGCCTTTTTCAGTACTGTACTGGGAGTTTTCGGTCGATCATGTTTCTCATAAGAATCTTACAAGAATAACGTACGAGTTTTGCTGACTCTTATCAATTTCTTATGAATTCTTGTGAGATTCTTATAAGATTCAGCAGAATTCTTGTCACTTTCGTGGAAGATCTTATACAAGAATTGTGTAAGATTCTTATAAGATTCTTGTAATATTCTTATATGTCTCTTACAAGTTTCGTATCTGATTCTTATATAAGAATCAATGACTAGGGCATTCACTAGGGTTTCTTATAAATTCTATAACTTTGCAAAGAAAGGTCGTGTAGAACTGGGTGATGTCCCATTTTAATCAAAAATTTGCGGGCTACAATCATGTTTTATTAAAAGAAGGTTTGAGTTATTTTTTAGAGTTCTTGAAAAACTGGTTTTTTAGTAAACCGGGTCTTCAAGAGTGATGGGTACGAATCTTTTTAGGGTATTTACTACCTCACTGAGGTTATCGACCCATGTACAAATCACTGGAATCTGAAGGGGATCTCTCGAAAGATTCCCTCGTTAGCATCGATCCGTGTGCGATGTCTGGGTTAATGCTCTCTCTTCACAGACGAGATATGTCTCAAAATTATCATAATAATTTTTTCTGTTAGACTAATACGAACCAGAGCTAATCATCTGCATTGGAAACTGACTGAAACCAGTTTTCAATTGGAAAAAAGGGGTTTTCACCTATGTTTCTGCTGCACCGTCAGCTGAAGCAGACACATTTTTTATCTGCAGGTAAAAAATTGTGTGTGTTTTAGTGATAGTTCTAGTGTTCATTAGTAACTTTCTACGTATAAAAAGGATGAGATACAGATTTGTAATTGATGATCAATAAGGAACAGTTACAGAGTCCATCGAATAAGATGGGTACGCGTAGTTAGAAATTTTCTGCAAATAATTTCCTCCAAAAATTTCCTGCAAATAATTTTTTCTTTCACTCCTACCTTTTCTTGATACTATTTGTGATATGAAAAGTAAAAATATGTTTGAGTATTTAAAGAAGAATGAGATTAAAAATAATTCACTTAAGCAGAAGTGTTAATACTAAATAAAAGAAATAGCCAATAAAAAAGCTATGCAAAAAGGTCCACCTGCAGAGCAAACGTTTTTACCAACATACCTTGCCTGCTTAGGACAAAAAAGCTTTATTTTCTAGAGCCTATAACTTGCACCGCATCTAATTTTTATTTTGTGACTGGTTGTAGACCATTGTCCAAGTGTGCATCTTTGATATCAACTCATGGCTACCTCAGAGGAAGTGGTCAGTTTTATAAGTTGATTATAACTTCGTTCCTTTTTGTTTTTTTGAGTTGATTGTAGGTTTACCTTGAAATTCTCTACAATATTGAACATTTATTTTATATACCTTAGTAATTCTTATTACGTTATTGAAAACGTTTTTTCAACAAAATTAAAAAAAATAATTTTTTTCATCTCTCGATAGTTTCAAGAATAATTGTTTGTACAACACCAATACGCAGGAAGTTTTTAATTACTATATGATAACATAAACCTTCTTTAGTTTAGCCCAAAGGAGCAATAAATAAGTTAATAAATAAGTGAAAAAGAGGACATGATATATGTCCAGTTAATCCAGTGTATCTACATTTGTATTACTTTTTACTCTATATTCTGAGGTGTTGTAGATTGTTTGAATTTTCATCATTGCTAAAAAAAGACAACACATAATCTAACTATCTCTCTCCAATTATACATGTGGTTTTCTGTTACATTTTTCATGTGTAGTAGAGATATGCAGGGCGCCCTTACCAGACCCTATCCCTCAGGGTGAGGTAGGGCCAGGACTTCGGTCTCGCAGGGTAGGGTACAACAATTTTTTACAGGGTAGGGCTAGGGCTTCAGAAACAGCTATCCTGCACATCTTTAATGACTCGTTTTCGACGAGCAAGTTATGCCCTAACTATTATGTCTTTCAAATATACATACACATACAATAAAACCAACCTCAGGTATATTTAGACATTCATATCTTCGTTGATTTTGTACATGGTTTTATGTAGTTGATCGTACTACTAATGCATCCAAAATTAGACTGATGTGGGCTGAATGTATTGTGAAATCAGTATTTGACAATTGACAGGTTTTGGCTTTTGGACAGTGGTTTAGCAGACTGATAGGTCAATAATTGCATCAATAGTCTATAATATACTTGCGACATATCGGCTTATTTTCGTAACCAGGAGAAAGTTCATCACGTCTCTATGCGTTTCGAATGAAGATGCGTCTATTGTTTATATTAGAAATTTAAAAAATGTTCAGTCCAGATCATTCTATAAATCAAAATATTGAAGAGCTCTGGACGTATTTCAAAATATATAGGGAGTACAAAGTAGAACAAGATGTAACGAAGTTTTCTTCTGGCAGAAGAGTTATATTGTGAAATCACTGATCCATAATATTAGTGAGAGTTGAACTTATGATTGAGGTTACATCTTTCAGTGCGTGATTGTTGTCGCTGGTGGTGCCACCTCTGTTATATGACGTATCGTTAGTGTCATAAAATATTGATTTCGACGAGAACGACACGTTCTAGTAGATCCCAATTTACAATTCATGTACACAAAACATCTTCTGACCTGAGGAGTTCTACTATAAAGTAAACCGCCAAATGTTTACCGATACAATCGAAGACCGATTGAATGAACGATCTTAGTGTATGATCAAAACATCCAGTGAAGTTATTACTGCTAATTAGTGTCATTCAATTTCCAGTTCATTGTTATTAGCTGGTCATAATTAACCCAAATAAAAGAATTATAACTATCTCACCAAAAATGAATGGAAGGTCCAACCTAAAATAAGGTTGATTTAGACCTTTCCAGAAATTATCTTTATTTTGCGAGTGAACTTCTACAGTTTTAATCAGTGAACTTTAAACTCAAACTCTCTAATGCATTTACGGTCAGATATGTTTGATGTTAATTAACTAATTAAAGTTTATGAAAATAAAAAGCAGTATTTTGTTTTGAAGTATGAGTAAATTTATCTGAAACCTGCTGTGATACATACAAATACCGCCATGGGTGTTCGCGTATGTAAAACATTAAAAATGATGGTTATCTTTTAGCATAAAAAAGGTGCGCATACAAACAGTTTTGTCAAATTTTACATAATCTTATCCAAAATATCTGAAAGTGTTTTATAGTCTATTTCTCAAGATCCACTCGTCAGCCAAACTTCACTCTTTCAAATTTTTGTAGATTCTAAGTTCCTCATTCAGATAAAAGTAAGAACTTTTTCAGTTTGATGTGAAAGGAGCGACAAGAGAAGCGCGGGAAGTTAGAGAAAAATGGGTACAAAATAGCTTTGTTAACATCTTTTTACTGTGAAGGTAGATTATAGATTTCTCATTTCACATCTTAAGTAGAGATCTGCAACAAAAGTCATCATTTTTAAAGCTGGATAACATTTACTGAGCACGAACACTCATGATGGTATTTGGGGGAATCACAGATCCCCATGAAAATCTCATAAAATAAACATAAAAGGCTGCTATGACCTCGCAGTAAACGATTTCGTTAGCATGCCAAATGACAAACTTTCTCAAAATGGTGGATCCTCTTACAGATGTTAAAATCGCACAACGTGGATGAGAAATAATCATGACAATATCTCCAAGGATTTTTCTTAACTTTTTTCAATATCAGAAGTTATAAAATACCAAGCTTCCAGAGACGATAGAAGAGAGAAAATCTCAGACTGTGTACTTTAGTAGAACATCATCGTTGTACCATAGAAGTTTGCACAAAACAATTCAACTTTAATCGTCGTATTTAGCAAATACGATGGAACGCTATCGTTGTTTCACAAATATTTTGTTGATTTGATGGAAACTTTTTTTAAGTGACAGTATCGCAGAATACATTCTCCTTCTCAACGTAATGTGTCACATGACCTTTGATTTGACTTGACGTACGAGATAATACTGCTATTAAAAGCTGTCTAGTATTAATGCTCATAATCAGATACAGCCTTGTGAATAAATAAAGTGATACAGATTTTTTGAAGTTCTAAACTATCACCTTTCATATAAATTGTCAAATAAGAACTATATAAGAATTATTCTATGAATTTAAGGAAATCCTTGAATACAGATCGCCATATCCGCAGAGCAAGACAGGTTCAGAATTACATATATTTTGTTATTTACACAGTAAAAAATAGAAAATATACAATAAATTATATATAATTTGTACTAAATTATAACAATAATAACCGGGTATATCCATTTCCTAACCATAGTAGGAATAAATGAAAATAGTCTGCCTACACTCTGCTCCTTCTTCTATAAAACAAGAAGGAAAAGAGTAAAATCTTTAATGAAAAACTTGTAAGAAGATGAGTTTCTAAAAAAAGTGGACACAGTTTTTCCACTTTACCAGTGAATCGAGTCTTTGATGAGAGATACATTATTAAAGGTCTTAAATTATACATCAGATCAGTCGGATAGAACATGTGAGATCGTTTTTGTGCATGCAAAGGTATTATTATACGTATTCGAGGACGATATCATCTGAATAGAATGCACATCAACCATTATATCCATGATGTTTCAACATCGTCCAGGATTCACATACGTTTTGATTCATAAGTGTCCAATTACTACAGTATTTCAACAAATTAGCTACATCTTCTTCAGTTATTTTAACGAAATAGACGAATCATAATATTCTCAGAATGTAAATAGTAAACGGTAATTTGCTTTACTTCTTTTTTATATCAAAAGAAGAACTGTACACCAAGAGAAATAAAGTCTAATTTTTAAACATTTGCGTACGCACACAAATTGAGGTTAATAAACTGTATAGGCACAGATGGTACTGTTATGAGTGTACTACCATAATTATCCAATATTGAATTTCTTGAACAATTTTTTGTAAGATATCTTCGTTGATGTTTTATTTTGTTCTCGATGTTCTCTAGTACAATCGCCTTTTGCTGTTGTTGATAATTGCAGTTTTTCAGCAGAGAAGACGATGAATTTTTGGAAAATCGATTTTCACTTGGTATCCATTTGTAACTGATTGTACTATAAGGTGGTGGATGATTATCAACCTCATATGAGGAAACTTCGGGAAGAACATTAGACAAGGTTGTGGTAGAAATATTTGTCTCCTGAAGTCGTGTTTGATGCTACAACCACAAAACGAATAGACATTTACCCTTATAGAAAAAATTACAATGTGGCGGATGAAGGCATACTTTTCGTACTCGCCGTTTCAATGTTGTCATATCAACTTTTGATCTACAAAGTGAATTTTTGGCATAACGATATTCTTTTTTAATAGCAGTAGTTGCTGTTTTTTCATTAAAGAGATCCATACAATGGTTTGGAAAACCGTTGTCAGCTGAAGAATTGTCAAATGTATCGCATTCATCTATAATAGTACATTAGATGAATAGTATATTGTAATTATTACTAATTACTAACCTTTTGAGGTATCGGTTTGGCATAATAATGCCGGTTTGAACTTTTTCATAGAACTATACGAACTAGAGAAAAATTGTTCACTGCGATTCATGTTTTTGAGAGTTTGATTTTGGCCACTTAATACGTTGCAAAAATTTCGTTGATATTGATTTTGCAAAATAGTACGGTCTTCGGTGTACTAAATACCAAAAAAAAAAAAAAAACGGAAGTTTCAACAGAAAATTATAGACATGATTAATTGGATAATATTTTCTCACTTACATCTGAATTTTTGTCGGTGTTTTCTGCAGCGTGTTTTAATCGTGCTAAAAGTATTTGATGCCAATCAACATCTTTGAAAGAATCTTGATTTTGACTAGATTTATCAACATGTTGAGATGACTGAAAGAATAAAAACAAAATAATCGATATTTTTTAGAATAGTTTGGATCGATTCAGACAATTGAATAAATGTTTGTACATTTACTCTCTTAATGATGTGTTCTTACTTTAAATACAAAACTGTTTTCATCATAATTATTATGTAAATTTGTATAACAAGTAATATATAAGTTTTCTCGTTTAGTTCGTCTTAATGGATTTAATAGTGTTCTAACAATGGTACTAACTGCAGACGACATTCTTTTAAACACAAAAATCAACTTCTGTTAATAGTTTACCAATAAATCGCTTAAATGTAAATTTACAAAAATTTAAATTTAACTAGAGAAATAAAGTCATTGATATATAATTGTAGAAGAAAGAGAGGATTCATCTTCTACTTCTTCTATTTTAATAATAAAAAAAAAGTCGTTTTTTTACTCTTGTTTTTCTTAAGTAACAAAAATCGCCTACTCTTTCATAAAATATTACCATTAATGAAAAAGAAAACATAATAGGTGGTAAACATTGAAACAGAAAGAAGAATTAAAATAAACGTTTTGGCATATTATTTTCAATCGTTTTTTTCTATATAAACAAATTGGATTAATATTCTACACATTTCACTCTCTTTCTTATATTCTCGTCTTTTATAGTGCACTTGATCAGAAAAAGTTTATAATTTTTTAAATTTTCAAGTTGATTCGAATATATCTTCAGAATGAATAGAAATGAAGCACTTCAATGATGAAAAGAAATTTTCTGTCTTTCTATTTACAACGGCTTCTGATGAGGTTAATTTATACTACACCAGACATGAATAATAAGACGAAAAATATCACCTCGAATTGTGAGCCACATAATAGAACACATTCGTAACTTTAATATCTTTAACTATTATAACAGAAAAATATTATGTTAATCGAAGTATTCAGACTGGTCTGATTACATTCAGAATAAATAAGTTTTAATCTGATAAGTATTTTTATTTACAGTATTATTGCACAACAACAACATTTAATCTGATTCACTGTTTGGACGAATAGTTGTCGTTTTTCTCGTTGTAGAATCTGATCTAGTTCATCTTCTATCGCTTGCTGCATATTTGCTTGTAATATACTCGTTGTCAGTATTTGATAATGTGATCTAGGCATTTGACTCCAATTTACGCGGTCCAAAACAGTTTGGTCTGGATTTGTGGTAATATCAACGACTTTTTTAACTCCCATCTGTTTTGCCTGATGTAATTTTTCCATTTGAAAATTGAATATAAGACGTTGATTTTCTGCATTTTTCGGTTGAAATATATTTAAAGCAGAACAAAAAAGTAAGAACAATTAATTCATTCGAGTACTTTTGGTGGTAGATCCACTGCAGAGAGTTTCATTCGACTGTCGCTTTTTACTTCAAGCATTGTAAAAAAACACACTCCGCTGAAAGGCATGGAATTTTTCAAAGACAAACCTCTACTACCACTCTAATACCTTGCTCAACGACATAATTGTTCACAATCCTGAATTCAATCACATACGCTAAAATCATCAACAGATGATTGGAAATAACTACTATTCTACACTCAAAATTTTTTCGTAACTTTTTAAATCTCAACAGTTCACCATCCAGTTGTTTAAACTTCAAGAACTGTCATGCCATGTATCGACGGAAAAGTTGTGCTCAAATTGGCATCCCTCTTTAACATGAGAGATTATATGAGCCTCACTGACGATGGAATTGTAGTTATTACGAAAACAGTTATCCAGGATCCCTTTGTCATTGAAATGGACTGTCCGGGTGATAGTGTAGGGATATTTTCATGTCGGGTATAAATATACGATCAAAACTTATTTTGAATAGAAAAGTCTAGGATTGCTATTTGAAACAAAATATTGTACCTAAATTAATGTGGTTTTTTGGAAAATCGTGTGGTCTCCCAACGTATTTGATGGGTATGTTGTTCAAATCTCATATTTTTTTGCTCCAATATTTTCGTCTTCTAGACAGACCAGGTTTGAAGAGTGTAATAACCACAACTTCTTCTCTAATACTTGACAGCTCTAGAAGTTTAAACAATTGAATGACGAACAGTTGGGATTTAAACAGTTAAGAAAAGTCTTGAGTGTAGAATAGTAGTTATTTCTTATCGGTTAATGACGATTTTCACGTATATTACGGAATCAGCACTCTAAACAACGTTGTATGCTTCTACGAGGCAGTTGAGATTTATCTTGGAGAGTCGCATGTGTTGCAACTGAGTGTCTCTTTTTATCCCTACATACTCTGTTCGTTTGTTACCGGTCGATACTTTTTGATATTCACTTAGCCAGTCGTAACTCCAGTCGACGTCTTCATTGAGTTCTTCTGTAATTGTATCGGAAAATAACTGTCTCAAGTACATGTAATTTGGGCGTTGATTGTGGCTAAGTTTAAATATTTTTTGAAAATAAATTTTAAAATTATCGGGTAACTCTGAACAGAGGTCATCGATATTTTTCATCATTTTATATTTTAATTTTGCTATTCTCATTGCACGGCATGCCTGTTCTGATGTGTCATTGCTATCCCCTAGTGTCGATCTTTGATGACGAATATTGTCATCCACTTCCCATGGCAACTGTAAACCAGTAAAATAGATGAGCATATAACCCAATGATTCCAAATCATCACGATAGGAGAGTGGACGACCTATTTGAGCGTTGATACTGCTAAATAAAATACCTAAAGTGATATGAATATGGTAGTTTTCAATTTGGATTGTAAGCCTTTTTTACTGTTTTTTAGTTTAAAAATGGATCGTAAGAGACAACATTTTTAGACGATTTTTTCTACCTCCTGGTAGGTGAAATTTTTCTATTTCCGCTGCTGATTTCCCAGTATTTCTCTTCTTCATCTGATTCGTTTGTTCATCATCATCATCATTGCAACTAATCGAAATCATTTGTGCGAATGAAAATCCTCCAAGATATATTGTTTCTTTTCTTTTAATAATTTCACATGTCTGAAAACTGGATGGCTTAACATCACAGTACAAGATTGATTGCATATGTAAGAGTTCTAACCGCGTTATAAGTTCAATGCCAATGAGACAGACAGTTTTTAATGAAAACCCATTTTCTTCACGTTTATAATGATCAAATACGACTTGTAGATTTGGACCAACATAATCGAATACCATTGCTCTGAATTTACGACTTGTTTTATAGTAAAGTAAACAAGGTAAACCAAGAATGTCGGGATCATGCTCTTCAACAGACTGTTGGTTACCAAATGGAATCAATGTAGAATGACGTGTCCTTTCAGGTGATGTAACATCTATACTCATCGAGATTTGTCTATTATCTGTTGAGTACTTTCTTAATAGTATAAGCGGAACTCCATTTAAGGCAGCATATACTTTATATTCATTCGCTAGAAGAAAAATTTGTGTGCTATATTATAGAGAAATAATTATGTTCGATCTTAGTAAACAAAAATATTTTCATCGAACCGTTTGTCGACCAACAAACTTATAGAAGACTCTCTTTTACCCAAATAACTGTGTTGATCTTCGTTTAACGGTTCAATCTTGACAATAAGAGGCTGCTTTGTTATTCGATCTGTACCCGATCTCAGATCACCACTAATGTTCGATGAGATGCATGCACCTACCACATATCTTCCTCCGAGCACTTTACCCGTGTACGCATCTTCTACAACTCCCCTTTTCTGTTGTTGCTGTTGAAGAGAGAGTGGGAGTTGATTTTGCTGGAAGAGCTGATGTTTTTGACTGAAGGTAGTAGACGATTGACGAAAAGTAGACGATGAACTTCTTGCGGATGCGTCAGTATCAGTTTGTACATCGGATGATGAGAATGGACTACGAGAAGTTAGTAAATAACTGCTTGAGCGTGATACAGTACCAAGTGAGTAATTGGCCATTTTCAACACATTTTCAGATCAATTAATTGAATATGGTCATGTTTGATTGAAAAGTATATCCTTCGGATCACATTCAACATTTTATGGCGCGACTATTCAAGAAAGTCACTTAGCATTATACATTAATTAATAGCAACCATTCATTTGACATTTAGCTTCGTAAGAACTCATTTTCAGAGCAGAAAACTATTATTTAATGGATAATTAGCAACATCGGTTATTAAGATTGCGCTAAAGGACGGGATGCAATAAGAACAAGAATCGGTCCCATTTCAGATCATCTCGAAAGGTATCTAGAATAAAAGAGCGTACCATTTTATGGGTTTCTACACCCTTGGTTCCCCTTCGCGTCTCATATCTGTCAGAAAATCGATCAGCTTTGAACAATAGCTTCACGAGCCCATTCCGAGGCCTTTTTCGTAATTTTCTCAGAATACAACAAGTTTGAACGAAAGTCTTATATACCATTCGATGCAGCTTTAAACGGCGAACAAAACTATCTATTGCTCAATTGTTATGTACACTGCGAACATCCACGTTTTTGCAATATTACTGTTAAAAATGACCTTTTCAGCATAGTCCACGATAGTATTTTCGTTCTTTCACCATGAGAGAACCTAGGTTGCGGTCTGTATTATATATCAAACGAAAGCTCTTTCGAAACTCTACAAAATGGCTGGTGATTCATTTCTAGGTGAAAGTGCGAACACTCACTTTCTGGGATTTTACTACTGAAGGGTGATATTTTCAAGCATACTGGTGGATAATGTTTCTGTGTTTTTACCATTATGGTGCCTCTAGACAGAATGGTTAGAAAATACCGTCTAAGATGGTTGGGCCATGTTAGAAGAATGGATGATTATCGCTTACCAAAAAAGATTCTATTTGGTAAAGTTGTTGATGGCAGTCAAGGAAGAGGAAAGCCTTTGACCGATTGGATGGATTGCGTTAGGGATGATTGTGGTCTCACTCAACCCCAGATACCAGTTGGACAGTGGGAAAGGAAATCAAAAAATAAGATCGAATGGCGTTTAACTCTCTCGTCCCTAACTTCAATCCGATGAAGAAAAAGGACAATTATTATTATTATTATTATTATTTTTACCATGAAACAGCCTAGGTTGCGGTCTACATTATATATCAAAACGAAGCTCTTTCAAAACTCTTGAAAATGCTATGTAATTTCTTAAAATATCTTTCAGAAGCTTTTCAACTGCATTATTCGATAGTCCCTTCAATTCTCCACGAAATGAGATGTTGACCATGTTTCTACGATGTTGTGTGAAAGTGCCATAGAAAATACGATACAGATAAAAAATTCAGCATTAAAACGGATGAGTTAATATTTGTAATGTTAAACAGCGTGGAACTCTGTCATCAAAGATGGTAGAAACATGCTCAACATCTCATTTCGTGGAGAATTGAAGGGACTATCGAATAATGCGGTTGAAAAGCTTCTGAAAGATATTTTAAGGTCACTAGATTTTCTGGAAAACCGGATTTTTCAGAAATCTCTTTATCAGGACCCCGAGGTCTAGAATAAGTTTTCTTCACCGAAATATATAGAACTCCATGCGCTGTTTTATTTAATACCAAGTTCAAGGTTCTACGTTAAGGAATGTGGTTAGCAGACGTTTTACAAGTTAGGCCAAATTCGCCAGAAAATGCATTTTTCCGCTGCGAGAGTAAAATGTCTATAACTTTTTTTCTAACGAGGCTAGAGACTTGCGGTTTTTACCATTCACTTCAGCTTGCTGAGCTCTATAATACGATGCAGGTCTTGCCACTGACGTCAAAGGTCGATGTAAATGGTGGTAGGTTTTATATGGCTTGAGCCTATCCGTCGATGCCGAAAACATCACCCTTCAGTAGTAAAATCCCAGAAAGTGAGTGTTCGCACTTTCACCTAGAAATGAATCACCAGCCATTTTGTAGAGTTTCGAAAGAGCTTTCGTTTGATATATAATACAGACCGCAACCTAGGTTCTCTCATGGTGAAAGAACGAAAATACTATCGTGGACTATGCTGAAAAGGTCATTTTTAACAGTAATATTGCAAAAACGTGGATGTCCGCAGTGTACATAACAATTGAGCAATAGATAGTTTTGTTCGCCGTTTAAAGCTGCATCGAATGGTATATAAGACTTTCGTTCAAACTTGTTGTATTCTGAGAAAATTACGAAAAAGGCTGAAAACAGAAACGAAAACAGAGAGATTTTGTGATAATCTAATTTTAAAAATAACTTCCTATGTGAAGAAACAAGTTGTAATATAAGAATGTATAAAAACAAGTATCTATTTAATGTGACAGAGCCAGGAGTATTATTGATTTTCTCCCACCCACTGCTAGGCTAGTTTCATCATGCTTTCATTCTTTAATTCTACGACCCTGAATCCTTCTGTAAAGGATGGTGATGTTTCGGATTATGTTGCAGACAGGGGATGTTCGGAGCTTTCTAATGAGAAAGAACTGAGTTTGTAAGGAGAATCTCAGGTGTTTTAAAGCGAAAATCAAACATAAACTCGAAACCGATGTTTTCATTTTCGTTTTGAAACTTTCTTTCAGTTTCTTTTCAATTTCAATCGTTGGTTTCTACTTATAAGTAGGAGTAGTACTGATTCTCGATTAGACCTCTCACTCTGTCGCCTTTCAAAGTTCGTGCAGTGTAGTTGGTGTTCTAGTTATATTTACTTTTCGATAACTCACACTGGTGAACGGTCTGTGAACGAAAACAATCCAAAATACTAAAACGTAATGTAACTCGATCTGCACTGAACGCTGTTGAATTTTATGAAGTAAAGTTGACAAAATCAGTATTCTTCTACATATTCCGACATAGTACAATCCTAACATACAATAACGACAATAAATAGGAATTGCACAGGTACATTTGCAGCAGGGGAATTTTATGGAGTTTTGACCACTTTATACACAACTTTCTTTGCAAATGTGGAGATCTATCTCACTCGAAAGAGCATCAAATTCTGATTAGGGAAATGTCTTTTAGAAAATATTAAAACATCAGCATAGGATCGGCATCATTGATTTTTTCTATAACCCATCCCCCGTATCCAGCGTTTTATTCATAAAGAAAAGTAGCCAAGACCTCATATCTTCTCCAAATGTTCTACTTGGTAGTACTATCGAAGCGGCATGCAATATAAAGCTGAACTATGTTCTATATGAAATACAGTTTTCAAAGCACCCGGAAACAACCTAAGAAGAGGAAGAACCAAGACTGGGAAAGCTGTTGGTTCTTTATTTGGGTTTATATTGTGTTTATATTTGAGAGATCCACATCAGCTGCATCTATCGCAGGTATTTTGCATATTGCTGATTGAAAATGAAACCTGGGAGATTTTAACTTGGTGTCTCTGATGAAAAAAGTTGTTTAAATTCTGGTTAAGAGGAGAGACAGGAACTGCAACAAGTTGGTCAAAAAAATATACTAGTAAAATAAAGGTTTCTCGGAACGTATAATAACCACAGTCCTGTGTTTTTTACCAAAAGTTAACATTTCTGATACTTTTTAGTTTATTCTTTGATATCCGATGCCTTTCATCATGAGAACAAATTTGGTTCATGCGAGTGGTTCAATAACCGTTATGTTTTTGCTTTGACCGTCGATATAATAAGACACGATGCATGGTGGCATTAAACTACATAAAACTTCAGGACAACATGTATCGTACTTAATGATGTTAATAAAATTAACTTTTTTGTTTCTGGAGATTCAATTTACTAAAGTCGTAACACTCGAATCGTTGCTTTCTCATGCGAAAGAATTGAAGATTATCTGACTTTTTCTTGCATATATTTCGTATAGAACATAGCTCCGCTTTATAGTGATATTGTGTAACGTGCAACAAAGCATCACCAGTTGAAGATGACGGAGGAAAACCGAAGTGAGGCTCGGATTAGAGGCCGGTCTTTAGTAAATGCTCTAAGAACTGTTGATGTTCTCTAGAATTTAACTCGATACGCATAAGAGAAAAAGTAGGTCGGTAATTATCTACCAAAGAAGCGTTTCCTTTCTTGTAAACAAGTGTCATAGTAGCTGTTCCACTGAGATGGAAATATACCTACTGAGAGTGATAACTTGAAAATGTGAAGCAGCTGATAAGAAGCAACAGGTAAGCATAATTGGATAAATTTTATCGAAAAACCGGCGATATTAACAACAGTCTTTCTCATCGATCCAACTGCCTTAACAATATCAGCGAGCGTAATAGACACATCTGTAAACTTAGACCGACATAGACTCCAACTCCATTTTCAAATTTTCAACTCCAACTCCAACTTTCTCAACAAAAATCTCAACTTCCGTTTCACTCCGGTTGCTTCACTTTTGTAAGGAAGATTTTTCGGTTTTCAGCAGGATTCTGGACCGTTTTTAGCAGGA